CGGGTCTAAATTCGCCAGTGTCTTCGGTCACCTTCCGGCAAACCCAGCAACACGAAAATGGGTCAAGGGCGAAATTTCCAACTTCCATTATCTGATGTTGATCAACACCTTTGCTGGGCGTACCTTTAACGACTTAACTCAATACCCCGTTTTCCCGTGGGTTCTGGCAGACTATACAAGCGAGAAACTCGATCTGAACGACCCGGCCACATTCCGGGACCTATCCAAGCCCATGGGTTGCCAAACACCCGAACGAGAAATGGGCTTCCGTGAGCGATACAATGCTTTTGCGGAGATGGGCGACGATAATTCTCCCCCTTTCCATTATGGAACACATTACTCTTCTGCCATGATCGTCAGCTCCTACCTCATTCGTCTGCAGCCATTTGTCAAGTCATATCTTTTACTCCAGGGTGGCTCCTTTGATCATGCTGATCGCCTCTTCTATTCAATCCGCAAGGCATGGGAGTCGGCATCGCGAGGGAACATGACCGATGTTCGAGAACTTACCCCTGAGTTCTTCTATCTTCCGGAATTCCTCGTGAACTCCAATCATTATGATTTTGGTCTTCTCCAAAACATGACTACCGCCATTGACTCGGTTGAACTGCCACCTTGGGCAAAGGGCGATCCCAAGATTTTCATTGCGAAGCACCGGGAGGCACTTGAGAGTCCATATGTGTCCGAGAACCTGCATCACTGGATTGATCTTGTTTTCGGCAGTAAGCAAAAGGGCGAAGCAGCGGTCGAGGCCGTCAATGTCTTCCACCACCTCTCCTACAAAGGTGCTAAAGACTTGGATGCCATTGATGACCCAATGGAACGATTAGCCACCATCGGCATTATTCACAACTTCGGGCAAACTCCTCATCAAATCTTCCAACGACCTCATGCGCAGAGAGAAGACCAACGACACCGCATACCCCGGCTGGATACTCTTGCAGAATCCCTAACCCAAATGCCTTTGTCTCTTCTTAACATTGAAGAACGAGTAGCCACCCTATCGATGAAACAAGACCGTTTGTTGTGTACCGCGGCCCTCAGGCTCAATGTGCCGCCGGCCTATGATCACTACATGGAATGGGGATTCTTCGATGCCAGTGTTCGCTTCTACGCCGCCGATACTCGCAAGCTCCTGGGCCACTTTGAGCATCTTCATGTTGGTCAATTGTCTCATGCCACCTTTGCCGATTCCCGTACCCTGGTCACATGTGGTACGGACTGTACCATCTCATTATGGACGGTCACTGCAACATCCAAGTCTGTTGATTTGCAGCCCATCGGATCGCTCTTTGGCCATCGAGCCCCAGTCACTGTCCTCGCCGTTTCTCGCTCCTTTAGCGCTTTACTGTCTGCCTCCAATGATGGACAGGTTATGTTATGGGACCTCAATCGGCGGTCATTCGTGCGCGCCCTTCCCACCGACGGTGCAGTCGATGTATGTTTCCCCTTTTCTTATCACCTACCGTTCTTTACTGACGAATTAGTGTGCTCGAATCAACGATGTCTCTGGAGATATTATGGTTTGTCGCGGTAATCGTTTAACATTATATACGCTCAATGGCGTAGTATTGGTTGACCAAACAGTCTGCGAGTCGAGCGACGATCACGTCTTGTCCTGCGTCTTCTACGAGGGGGTCCAGAATGAATGGCTGGAGCGTGAATTGGTGTTGACAGGCCATACTCGTGGTGTGGTGAACATCTGGAGCAAGAATATTTGCGGTGGTCACTTTGAGCTGGAGTTGATCCGACAGCTACATCATACCGACAGCAGTCGTGACAATGGTGCCAATATCAACGCTGGTATCAGTTGTATTTCGGCTCTCCCCCACGTGGTCTATACGGGGGACGAGACTGGCCGAGTGGTGAGTTTTATTACGCCGGCTCATGTTCAATTGACGAAGCTAACATGATGATAGTATGAATGGAACTGCATCCAACGTCGCTGATTTCCTCGGTGTTCTTCAAACACTGATTCTCCTTGATCTCATGTTCATAGCCCAAAAACATATTGGTCCTTTTCTCTTTCCGTTCTACAGTGCGCCTCTTGCCGTTCTTAGAGTAAAATTGAGCTTAGCCCTATGGATTTCTGTAAGATGCTTCAGTATGAACATCCTTGAGCCTCTGTCAACGACCAAACAAGTATCGCTGGCCACCCGGCGGTCGAGCCCCGAACTAAAGTACGATCCGGCACAAGAACATGGGGGCAACCGCACTAACGGAAGGATGTTTGATGAAACAACAGAACATTGAACGGGGAAACCCCTCTCCAACAAAACATGCTGTACACCTCCAGGGAACATAGTATGTACATACATGTTGCTACTTTGTATAGTTAGGCAATGGCCTTTGCGACGTCCGTTTCAAACCTTGGAAAATTATTAAGATCTTTAGCCAAGCTGTTCGGAATTCATATTTCTCCATCACTAGCCGTCGATGTGTATTTATCCGGGCCCCCGGTGAGTATTGCAAAGACCGCTGCATTAGTGGGCCGTTGTCCGGTCTACCATCCTCCGGTTGGGGAAAGGCGGAGCACTCTGCGCCGGATTTGATTTATAGCACAATTGCTTAAGCAGCTCAAGGAGAGATGTAAAATCATATTGGGATTAGAATATGCATACAAGGCGAAAGATTGAAAAAGATAAGTAAAAAATCTAGGAATGTGGAAGCAATGGCAAAAAAAAAAAGAAGTCAAGGGAGCTCTGATTTCATCGGCGTCATTTGCCCCACCATCCCACTTGAGAAACGTGGGCACTGGCCAGGTACTTCCATTTACTAGGAGGACTCAATACTAAATACAAGTACCCGGCAAGTCATTTGGTTCTGGCCTATGACACCACCCCTCCTCCTAAATACCGCGCCGCCCGCCACCCTTCTTCTCTCTTCTTCATACTTTCTCTATCTCACCTTCCAATTCATAAAAAATGTCTTCCTCTCTCGAACAGCTCAAGGCCTCCGGCACCGTCGTCGTTTGCGACTCTGGTAAGTTATCAATATTGTCGTTGCATTGAAACACTGCTAACAATCTTTTAGGTGACTTCGCCAGTATGTATTCCAGATTGTGCTCGATGGGACATGGTTTCCAGTATTGAATGGCTAGCTAACTTAAACTACAGCTATTGGCAAGTACAAGCCCCAGGATGCCACCACCAACCCCTCTTTGATTCTGGCTGCTTCCAAGAAGCCCGAGTATGCCGCTCTCATCGACACTGCCGTTGCCTACGGCAAGCAGCACGGAAAGACCCTCGATGAGCAGGTTGAGGCCACTCTCGACCGTCTCCTCGTTCAGTTCGGAAAGGAGATTCTTAACATCATTCCCGGCAAGGTCTCCACCGAGGTTGACGCCAAGCTGTCCTTCGATACCCAGGGTTCCGTCGACAAGGCTCTTGAGATCATCAAGGTACGTTCACTACTTCACCATGACTTTTGCACAATTGCAAGCTAACTCTTGCCACTCAGCTGTACGCCGACAACGGTATCTCCAAGGACCGTGTCCTGATCAAGATTGCCTCCACCTACGAGGGTATCAAGGCCGCTCACATCCTCCAGTCTCAGCACGGCATCAACTGCAACCTGACCCTCATGTTCTCTCTGGTTCAGGCCATTGCCGCCGCCGAGGCCGGTGCCTACCTCATCTCCCCCTTCGTCGGTCGTATCCTTGACTGGTACAAGGCTGCCCACAAGCGCGAGTTCACCCCCCAGGAGGACCCCGGTGTCAAGTCCGTCCAGGACATCTACAACTACTACAAGAAGTTCAACTACGACACCATTGTCATGGGTGCCTCTTTCCGTAACATTGGCGAGATCACCGAGTTGGCCGGTTGTGATTACCTGACCATCTCCCCCAACCTCCTCGAGGACCTCTACAACTCCACCGAGCCCGTTCCCCAGAAGCTCAACCCCGCTGGTGCCTCCAACCTTGACCTCCAGAAGCACGAGTACCTCCACAACGAGCCTCAGTTCCGCTTCGACTTCAACGAGCAGACTATGGCTGTTGAGAAGCTCCGTGAGGGTATCTCCAAGTTCGCTGCCGATGCCGTTACCCTCAAGGAGCTCCTTGCCAAGAAGATCCAGGCTTAGGTTTTCTGATGTTCTTTTATTGTTTAATTTTTTTTTGTAAATTGGCGATCTCCCCAAAATTGGAATCGGTAGCTACGAATTGATGAATTTGTCTCAAAACTATCCTTTAGAAAACTAGTAAATTGAACAAGAATGTTTAGCACTTAGTTATACACCGGATTTTAGGCCGGGCAAGTTGGATTTCCCTTTCCGTTTTAGTGCTCACCCCTTGCCGCCATTTGCTCACTGAGTAAAACTGAGCACGGCCCTGAATATCACGTAATCGTTTGACCCCGCTCACTGAGCGTCACATGACTATCACGTAAGCTAGATGACTCGCTCACTGAGCGTCACCTAAGCACTTTGATTTTGATTGGAGATGGGAATAGCTTCGGGGGATGACGATGAGGAAAATGATGAAAATGATGATAGGAATAGCTTCATTTACAATACACTGTATAGAGCGGTCAGGCATCATCCAGGCATCAACTAGGCCAAAAAGTCCATTGGGACGTTGGCCGTTATGCCCCTTCGCAATCAAGTCACATTGCTTCCTCTCAGTTCAACATTATTTAAAGAAGAAATTAAAATTAATAGAATTAGTAGCTCTTAAAACCAAGAAAATATAGGCTTTAAGAGCTGAGGGGTATATAAAAGTCCAAGGTAGAATAACTATATAGTGGAAATAGGGTATGATACGGAAAATCATATAACCATTAGCACTCGACATACCATACAAAAGTGTATATTATAGATTAGTCGGCGAGGTCCGCATAGATTGTTGAAATAGCGGATTTATATCATGTTAGTGAGTTCTCAACATCAGCTAGTTGTACCATACATTTCCATATAGACAGATTTCTGTTAGAAATGAAAGGAAGGCGGTCAAAAGCGAGAGAGTTGAGAGAGATAAATGGAGTTTTGAGCCGCTACTGGTTGGATCACTTGTCGAAGGCAATACGGATGTAGTCAACCCCGTTGAAGTCGAAATATCTTCCTGAGAGCTTGTGGCAGCTTGGACTGCGGTTTGGATAGATGCTGGTTCACCTGCCGTCACAGTCACGACCTCGGCTGGGGTTTTGGTAGATGCTGGTTCATCTGCCGTCACAGTCACGACCTCGGCTGGGGCTTTGATAGATGCTGATTCACCTGCTGTCACAGTCACGACCTCGGCTGGGGTTTTGGTAGATGATGATTCACTTGCCGTCACAGTCACGACCTCGCCTTTGGTCGTGGAGTCCCCATCCGACTCGGACCCACCCACCGCAGAGATACAGTTATCAATGCAGTACGGATTGGCCACATAGTTGAAGGTGAGAATACCATCCGATGGATCATTATTTCCGTCGTCGACAAAGTGGATGGGCACGCTTCCACAGGTCGTGCATCCGTGCTCAAGGACCGCATCCAATAATGGTCGGATGTCGGTCAGAGTCAGCGACGCGCCGGACGCCATGTACTCGGGAAATAAACAGATGCCACCTTCGTGTATAGATCCAGAGAGGCCGATACTACCGGTAATACCACCAATGGCGAAGCCTGGCGAGATGGTGATTGGCTGTGACTGAGAAACGCAAATGACATGATCACCATTCTGATACGCGGTAGAGAGTGGCTCGGGAGCGGCGTAGATAGCGTCACGGAGAAGTTGGATGACGGATTGTGGGACTGTGGATAGAAATGATTAGGACAAACGGTCAGAGGATGCGTGCCGGGATTAAGACACACCAGGATTGTTCCAAGTTGCTCGCGGACATAAGGCAGAGCCGCGGCAATTAATACCAAGGCTTAAGATAGGATGGGCGTATACAGATATAATCAGAAGAAATTTGAATATAGCAAAATGCGCCATCGCGGCGGTAATTGTTCAGTGTCTTATCTTTGGTGGCAGAAGCAAGGCTAGCTGTACGGGACTGGACAGCTAGGTCGAAAAGGCAAAGATTGCGTGCGTTAGAGGCATGAAGGTTGACTCGAACTAGAGACGAAGGCAACGAGGTGTAGTCTCAGGAGGTCCCAATACAACTGAGTTAAGAGGTAAGACAGCAGCGCATATTCATCTTAGTCGGTCATGGAGCTATACCCTTATATGGTACTTCCTCCTGAGAAGGGCAACGGGATGAGACATTTCTACGTGGCCGGGGCGGCACCTGCGGCGAGTTCAGCTGGAATCATCCCGCTCTACCAGCGCCACCACAATCCCTCGTCGGATTTTGTCTGACGGAGGCAGGATCTTATGCAAAGGGACGAACCTAGTCACCCGAGCCAAACACTGACCCCTCCAGAAGCGGTCTGTGCGGCTAGCAGTTGGGTGGGTGTCGCCTCAAATATACAGTAAACCCCATTTTTATAACGAATGAATTGAGACACGGGAAAAGATTCGTTAAATTGAGGTTTTTCGAAAGCCCAGGTCCCATACGGAGTACAGTAAATATATATAACTGGCTTACATATAGAGCTATACACTAAAAAAAACCCTCTAGAATTACTCTGTTTACACAGCGGTATAAGGGCCAGAGGTTAATGCTAATGCCTCACTTTTGTACCGTAGAAAAAGTAAGACACCTAACCTATTATTACCTGCCTTAACAATCAAAGTACCCTGATTCGGCTGGAGTTTACAAGTCCAAAAAGTGAAGCTTTTGCGCCCCAAGTGTTATGACCTATGGTGGGCACACCCGAGAGTGGGGTAAGAGGCTCTATAAATTGGGAACCTAGCATATCAACCATTCGTATAGTATAGTAAACCCCAGTGATAACGAATCAATTGAGACATAGCCAAATATTCGTTAAATCGAGGTTTTCGCAAAGTCCCGGCCCCATATATTAAATATATATCTGGTGTGTTGAGAATCCCGATTCATTCGCAGTAATTAACCTAGAATGGTTTCAACGCTAAACCTCTATTTTGTGCCAAGGCATTCTTGCATGCCAAGAATCTTGAACTCCTGCGGAATCGAGATTAACGGCTTGGATGCAGTCTGACAGGTTCGTCTCCCTGTCCTACATACAACCTGCATCCAGGTAGTATCGAAGGATGGGATTTCAATTCGGACTGCGTTCAAACTGCTTCAACGTGCTTCCTCCGGCGGAATCCGTTTATCTCCTCTTTTCTCTATGTTTCTATTCATGTTGCCATCACAAATTGTATCTTACATATGGGGGGTTTATCAAGAGTATCTACAGGGGTATGAAGCCTATAAGTATAGGCTTCTTGCCTGGCATTGAGAGGTTAGACAGTTTACAATTCATCTTTTTAATCCTATACTTCAATTATCAGATATCAAGTAGCACTCTGCAAGATCCTTTATCCCACAATACATACTATGTATAGCTTCATACTATACTATTAATCGATTGTGATATCAGCCTTTGCTACCGCCCTAGTCAAGCAGATGATCGCTGATCTTACTCGGCTGATACTCATCATTTCCACCGGCTTGAATGTCTTTAATGACCATAAGTAATTTCGCTTTTATCGATCCTCGAATCTGGCTAACTAGGGCACTTCATAGAATACCATTGGTAGATGTTGAATCTCCGAGAACAAGGTAAATGTGGCTTGATTATGATGCCTATAGCCTTCCAAGCCATTCTGATGATGTTGAAATATGCTGTGCATTGAACGGTTTACATTTATATCGTAGATGCCAGCAACCTGTGGATTCGCAAGGAGCCTGAGTTCTCAGAACCTTACAAATATGAAATGGATATCAAAACGGGAATCTTACGTATATGGATTATTCCTGCTGCTTGGTCTCTCCCATCCCTTAGGCGCTGCTATGTATTTCGTAGACTGATCCAGGAGAGCCCGTGGAGTCATTATTCAGAAGGATCCTTAAGGCTGATTGCCGGTCAAGCAGCTTGAGTGACACAGTTCAAATAATACCCTTGCAGCTATTCGCCTCCCGTTTCCGGTCAATCAGTCTTTTTTCTTAGAGCAATAGCAACAGGAAATAGAAGCGCCAAAGTCTCCATGGACAGGTTTCTTCTCCTGTCCGCAAGTGCAACATTTGATCGCGTCCACAGGAATTATGCCGGATATAGAAGCCAACACGGTCGCAGAGACTTTACAGGTATTAGTCGGGAGGCCACCAATCTACAATAGAGGGCACGTGTACTGTACTTGAAAAGATTCTGGCAATTAGGTTTACGCTTGCCAAAATGTGAGTAGATAATGCAAAATCCCACCCTTGTGAGAACCCCCTCTATTTCAAAGAATTAGCTGTCCGGGGCCAGCGATCTTTCCAACCTTGGAAAACAGCAAGGTGTGATTGATCATGTCGGGAACGGGCGAGCACTTCGGGGCGGACTTATAGAATGAGGGCCTCTTAATTTATCATCTTAACTCCGAGACAACAATTGGCTCTTCAATTCCCCTGTTTCTTCCCCATACGGCCATCCAAGACCCGAATCAAAACAGACACATGAGTTCGTGCAGCGCAAGCGTAAACGCCCGCTTTTCTCCTGCGTGGAATGCCGGCGACGAAAGATCAGCTGTGATGAGGATCCCTGTGTACGGGCGACTAAGTATGCCACCTGAGCAAACCTGAATACAGTGATCACCTGTGCTGTGAAATACTCAGGAGCCTGAGCCTGATAAAGCGGCACCCGATCGGGAAATTCGCGTGGCGTAAAATCCGATACAGCTTACATAGGTCATGTGAAAAGGATGCATCTGGGATGAGGGGTAGGAATCTAGCCGGGTCGGCTTATTCAGACCCCCGCACGTATCCATGTTATTCCAATTGCAGCTACCTGGGTATGGTATCATTGGCATTGTCATTCTTTTATTACCCGAGGTGCTTTGGAGCTTTGGATGTGACACAATTGTTTCTATAGAGATGTCCCGTTGCACAAGTATTAAAAGCGTGCAACATTTGAACCGGTATATATAATACAAAGAAATGAAAATTGAAGTGTTGAGCATGTAATTAATAATTATGTCACTCCCCCTCGTTCCGACTCGCCGCCCACTTGGGAAGGTGGGGGATGTTTTGTTGTATTAAGTACCGAGTACCGGTATGCACAGCTCTTTTTGTGTTAAAATACATGTACTCAGTACTTACCCAATACGAGTTCAGAGTCACGTCAACATCATCCGCTTTATTATCTTCATCCGCCCCCTTCCTCTCATTCTTCTTTCACAATACCTTTCTTCTTCAATCTTCAATCTAAAACATTTTAAGATAATCAAAATGGTTAAGGCTGGTAAGTAATCTCCATTGGCTCTCGCTGGACCATGAGATCTTCAGCTCCAAGTTCCCCATATGTGGCGAAGGGACCTTGGGTGTGAGCAGATTTGAGCACCTTGTGATCCAGAGCGCAAATCCGGACCTATCGGCTTGCATCCTCGCCCTAGCTCTCCACTGCTGTCCGAATGTCTGCCAATGCCCCTGGGACAAATCTGGAGATCATCGTTGCTCATTTGCTAGAAGCACGGCCTGCGCATCCTGGACCAGTGCGGCACGAGCCGTTGCTGGGCCTGAGAACAGACCGCAGGGAGCTGGAGATCCAGTAGCCGGCACGCCGAGCAGCCTTCGATAAGCCTTCTAGAACAATTTATTGACCACTTTTCTTTCCGTGCAGTTGCTGTTCTCCGTGGTGACGCTAAGGTCGCCGGCACCGTGACCTTCGAGCAGGCCAACGAGAGTGCCCCCACCACCGTCTCCTGGAACATTACCGGCCACGACGCCAACGCCGAGCGTGGTTTCCACATTCACCAGTTCGGTGACAACACCAACGGCTGCACCTCCGCCGGCCCTCACTGTATGTTATTCATGAGCAAAAGACGAAGAGGAAGAACTGAATACTGATTGCTTCTAGTCAACCCCTTCGGCAAGACCCACGGTGCTCCCACCGACACCGAGCGTCACGTCGGTGACCTTGGCAACTTCAAGACTGATGCTGAGGGTAACGCCAACGGCTCCAAGGAGGACAACCTCATCAAGCTGATCGGTGCCGAGTCCGTTCTGGGCGTGAGTTTATAATTGATACCTGGTATTGCCAAAACAGGCTGCTAACCTATCTGCTTAGCGCACTCTCGTCGTCCACGCCGGTACTGATGACCTTGGCAAGGGTGGTAACGAGGAGTCCAAGAAGACCGGTAACGCCGGTCCCCGCCCTGCTTGCGGTAAGTCCACAAAGGCGTGATGTAGTGGAGATGAATGCTAATGAGATGTTTTAGGTGTCATTGGTATTGCCGCATAAATGTGCAGCTCTATCACCCTTTGAAAGCTGGATTTTGATATCCCCGTAATTGGTGGATAAAAAGTGCAGGATACTCCGTTTAGGATACATGAATGAATGCCAATTTGACATGTGTATATTTGGATATATATGTCGTGATCGAATAGCTTCGATCGTTCGATGCTTCGTAGACTTCCGTAGAAGCTCGGGATCGGCTGACCGCTTTCCCCCACAAGTCCAAACACCGGCCACGTTTCCCCTCAGGACATTCCCCTTGCTCTCAACTTCTCTTTCTCTTCCTTGTGTTTTTATTCTGGGTTTGTCTTCAATCTCATCACAATTGTGTGGTAGTGGAGACTTGTTTCATTCATTATGCCTTTCGAAGCCCGGGTCAAGTCCGTCCTGTCCGGTGACACGGTCGTGCTGTCGCATATCACCAACCCTTCACAAGAACGTATCCTAAGCTTGGCTTATGTCTCTGCTCCGAGATTAAGGAGAGAGGGCGATGAGGTAGGTGCATTGCTGAGATTGATTCCCTGATTGCGCCATTGGAAGACCAGATTATTGCTTGTTGTGGTATCCAATTCGTGGCCTTTCTGGTCCTTATGAGCTACGTACAGCATTGGGTGGAATAACCATGGCTGAAGGAGAAGAGAGAGAAACAGACAAAATCTAATTCAAAGATTCAATTATAGCCATACGCCTTCCAATCCCGCGAATTCCTCCGTGAGCTCCTTGTGGGCAAAGTTGTCGAGTTCCACGTTGTCTACACCATCCCCACCGGTGCCAAGCGCGACTACGGCACCATCAAGCTGCCCGGTTTCGACGCCTCATTGCCCGATATCAGTGTGCAGGAGGGCTGGACACGAGTCCGCGAAGAGGCAGGCAAGCGCGGAGATGAATCCGAGGAGACCGCTGCACTCCTGCAGCGCCTGCGAGCATTGGAATCCCTCGCCCAGGAGGAAGGCAAGGGAACTTGGGCCGGTGGCGAGGATGCCCACATCGATACTAGCTACGAGCTGACTGGCGCTCGCGATTTGGTTAAGCGTAACTTGGGCCAGCAGCTGGAGGGTATTATCGAGAAGGTCCTGAACGGTGACCGTATTGTGCTGCGTTTGCTGCTCAAGCCCCAGGAACACATTCAGACAGTCATCGCTCTTGCTGGTGTTAGGGCACCATCTGCTAAGCGCACGACTGCTGACGGCAAAGAGACCGCGGCTGAGCCGTTCGGTGATGAGGCACAGCAGTTTGTCGAGGAACGATTGTTGCAGCGCAAGGTCAAGGTTTCTCTGCTTGGTGTTACACCCCAGGGACAGATTGTTGCCACCCTCCTTCACCCCAACGGAAACATCTCTCGTTTCCTGCTTGAGGCTGGTCTGGCCCGCTGCCAGGATCACCACTCGACGCTTTTGGGTCCGGACATGGCCCTTCTCCGCCAGGCGGAACTTACAGCGAAGGCAGACCGCAAGGGATTGTGGGTTAACCACACAGGACCCACGACCGCTGGTGCCGCTGCTGTGGACTACGTTGTCACCCGTGTTTTGAATGCAGATACCCTCTTCATCCGCAACAAGGCTGGCCAGGAGAAGAAGATCAGCCTCGCCAGTATCCGTCAGCCGAAGCCCTCTGACCCCAAGCAGTCTCCCTTTGCTGCTGAGGCGAAGGAGTTCCTGCGCAAGCGCGTGATCGCCAAGCATGTCATGGTTACCGTGAACGGCAAGAAGCCTGCAAACGAGGGCTACGAGGAGCGCGAGGTCGCTACTGTTGTCCAGGGCAACACCAACATTGGTCTGGCCCTTGTGGGGGCTGGTTACGCCTCTGTCATTCGCCACCGTATGGATGATGCTGACCGGTCTCCCGACTACGATGCGCTGCTCGCTGCCGAGGCTGAGGCCCAAAAGGAAGGCCGTGGAATGTGGTCTTCCAAGCCTCCCAAGTCGAAGCAGGTGGTGGACTACTCAGAGAGTGTACAAAAGGCCAAGCTGGAGCTTGGTATCTTGCAGCGTCAAAAGCGTGTCCCGGCCGTCGTCGACTTTGTCAAGTCTGCTGCTCGCTTCACTGTTCTAGTTCCCCGCGACAACGCCAAATTGACCCTCGTTCTTTCCGGCATCCGTGCCCCGCGTTCTTCCCGCGGGCCCAGCGACCCTGGCGAGCCGTTCGGCCAAGAGGCCCATGACCTTGCCAACCGCCGCTGCATGCAGCGCGACGTTGAAATTGACGTTGAGACCATTGACAAGGTTGGCGGATTCATCGGTAGTCTGTACATCAACAAGGAGAACTTCACAACCGTTCTGCTAGAGGAGGGTCTCGCCACCGTCCACGCATACTCTGCTGAGCAGTCTGGTCACGCTAACGAGTATTTCGCTGCTGAGCAGCGGGCCAAGGATGCCCGCAAGGGTCTGTGGCACGACTGGGACCCCGCCAAGGCGGCTGCTGAGGCCGAGGAAGCCGAGGCCGCCAATGGCACCGGAACTGGTACTGAGAGCGATGCCGTCCCCGCACAGCGTCGCAAGGACTACCGCGATGTTATGGTTACCTACATCGACCCCACCTCCGCAAAGCTCAAGCTGCAGCAGATCGGCACTGGTACCAACGCTCTCACCGAGCTGATGAGCGCTTTCCGCAAGTTCCACATTAACAAGGCCAATGACACCCCGCTGCCCGGTCCTCCCAAGGCCGGCGACTGGGTTGCCGCTCAATTCACTGAAGATGGCGACTGGTACCGCGCCAAGGTGCGCCGCAACGACCGCGAGAAGGAGCAGGCTGAGGTGGTCTACGTCGACTTCGGTAACTCCGAGGTTCTGCCATGGGCCTCGCTCCGTCCTCTCACTCAACCCCAATTCTCCGGCCAGACCCTCCGCCCCCAGGCTATGGATGCAGTCCTCTCTCTTTTGCAATTCCCCGCCTCCGAGGATTATCTCGAGGACGCCGTCGGTTTCATCGGCGACCAGACCTTCGACCGCCAGCTCGTGGCAAACGTTGACCACATTGACCAGGACGGCACCCTCCACGTCACACTCCTCGACCCATCTGCCTCCAAGAACTTGGACAACAGCATTAATGCTGATATCATTCACGAGGGTATGGCCATGGTACCCCGCAAGTTGAAGGCGTGGGAGCGTGCTTCCGTTGATACCCTCTCTAACCTGCGCGCACTCGAGGATGAGGCTAAGGCCGACCGCCGCGGTATGTGGGAGTATGGTGATCTGACCGAGGACTAATTTCTTGTAACTATTTGATTTTTGAGCTGTATGAGGGCGAACTGTACAGATATGGCTGGGTTGGCCCTATGATTAACATCTGGCTGTGCCGTGTACACTGAGATATGGTACTTGGTTTTAATTTAGGCTGGAATTTTATTGCATTTTTGTGTTTGCATTGCCCTCCAAAACACTAGCTTGTATGGCTTCATCTGCATGTCCGTTGCTGGGGCTGGCTACCTTGATTGATGCCGATTAGCTTTGTTGATCAATGGATCTACGCAGAAATATATGTCAACTCAACATTCAACATTCTCAAAAAAGAAATCTCACCCAAATGCCTGATAGAGAGAGATGTATCACAAATAGTGTCAACCAAAGCATCACCTGGGCACCGACCTCGGGACCAAACTGACATTTATTTCACCGCCTCTTTCCCTCCGCCACCTCCGAGATATATTTCAGAAGGTAGATCTTCCTTTCAAAAAAAAAAAAAAAGTAAACAAACTTGAGAACTCACCATGTTTTGGGGCAACAAAACTCCGCAGGCATCCGAACAGGACCTGGCGCGTACCGATTCCTCAAAGAACGATCCCGCCGCATCCGCCTCCCAAGCTTCTGGCACCGCATGGCTCGCCGGACACTTGCACCACCTCACACCAGAGCAGGAGGAGAAGCTGCAGGAGTTTAAGGCACTGTGCGCTGAACGGAAATACTACACTCCTGCCGTGGAACGAGCAGATGGCGTTGAAGCGCAGCCCGCCAGCCAGGATGATGCGACTTTATTGTATGTTGCGCCTCCGCGGTGGACCCCACCACATCTAGAAATGGCCAAAACAAACAAGATGATCGAGTACTGATTTTGGTTCTTTGCGCAGGCGATTCCTCCGCGCTCGCAAGTTTGACGTCGAGGGCGCGTGGGCTCAATTCAAGGACACCGAAGACTGGCGCAAAGACAACGCCATCGAGGAGCTATATGAGAATATCAGCGTGGATTCATACGAGGCCGCTCGACGGATGGTGTGTTTTCACAATACCTTGCGAACGAGAACACAGAGCTCTTGCTGACATCTATCGTCTTTACAGTATCCCCAATGGACAGGCCGTCGCGATCGCCGTGGAATCCCTATCTACGTCTTCCAGATCCGCCACCTGGATAACAAGGCTGTCGCCGCTTACAACTCCACCATGACTACCGGTACACCCGAAACGCACAAATCATCAACAGTCCCTGCGCGCTTGTTGAACCTCTTCGCTTTGTATGAGAACCTTCTCCGGTTCGTGATGCCGCTCGCATCCGCGCTCCCACGTCCGAACCCAGAGACGCCTATCGTGACGTCGACCAATATCGTGGATGTCAGCGGTGTCGGGCTGAAGCAGTTCTGGAACTTGAAGAGTCATATGCAGGATGCTAGTGTTTTGGCGACGGCGCATTACCCCGAGACATTGGATCGAATCTTTGTATGTTGTCCACCCCGTCTAATCCGTTCACAGAGCTTTTGCCGTTGGAGAATAAAATCGTGGAACTAACTCAACTGTTAGATTATCGGAGCACCCTCATTCTTCCCAACCGTCTGGGGCTGGATCAAGCGCTGGTTCGACCCAGGCACAACCTCGAAGATCTTCATTCTCTCCGCCGCAGAGGTCGAGCCAACCCTCACTTCCTTCATGGAGCCATCCAGCATCCCCAAGCAATACGGCGGCGAGCTGGACTGGTCGTGGGGCGAGATGCCGAATCTGGACGAGCCCAGTCACGAGCTCCTCAGCGGCATCGAGCAACCGATCACCGACGGCCAAAAGCGGAAGGATATCCTCAAGGGCCCTGTGTTGTTTGAGGGCGATCACCTCAAGGTTCTGGGTACTGTTGATGGAAAGGAACGGAGGGAAATCGTTCCCATCCCGAAGACACAGGCTTCGGTCGAGTCACAGGCTAACTCCGCTGGTTCTGCAGAGAAGGTCGCACCTAATGGCACAGAGACTAAAGTAGAGGACAGTGAGAAGACTATTGATGATGTGGCTGTCAAGGTCAATCAGTTGTCTGTGGAGGAGACGCAGACTACTGTTGCCGCATAGAGCACATAGAATGGTAGCAAGAATAATCGTGGGGTTTGTATTTAGACATACCATTAGCGATGTGATATAAAAGATAGCGCAGATCTCAATACCGGGGCATATTTTTTCTTCTATGTGTTTTGTTGAATATCTGACTGCCTTTATATTACGAAGTGGGGAGTTGATTGCACTCGAATTGCCTGATGTCGGTAGTGGCCCCATATTTTCAATATTTATATATTGTTTCTTTCCTTTGCTCTGGCTTGTCTCCATATGTGGAATTAACTCATCTTGAAACTGCCCATAGGCCTTAGTTCATGCTAAACGGTTAGTCGGGTTGGTTGCAACCCCCGATGTCAACTTGAGAATACTATGAGTGTATTGCATCTCCCCAAGACAAGTCAATATAAGAAACCAAAGCAATATAATCCATGATATCAGTATATCCTGTTAGGTACAGCTACTCCACTGCTATACCCCGAGACAAGCCAAGGAAAGAGTGGAAGATACCAGGGGTCGAAGGCTGGTATAGCAAAGGAGCAAAAAAAAAAAAAGATAATCCATCCCAGCTACTTCTGGCGAGGATCGAAATCCTGACCAGTTTCACCATTGCTGACCTTCCCAATGCGGTGTCACCCGTGGTCATTGTTCCACCCAGCAATCAGATGATCTCGTGTCTCTCACCAACTCGGTCATCCAGGGAGGATTTTGGCAGACTACCTTGAACTTGGGTTAAATACACTATCTGGGTATCATAAGATCAGGCTGTTTTTATTACCTACTTGTAGCATTGACCATTCGCCTCACCGGGCTCGGGGCTCTCGTTCGTATGTCTATAGATATCAGAAAATGACAAGGGGATTTATATATGATCAACAAGAATACTTGGCTGCTCATCCGGCCTCTGGCTTTGATTTCTTAATACATTTAGCTGAAGATGAAAGTTAGGAATGTTTTATTAAAGATAACACCGGACTGTCGTCTTGTCAGACCCCTTTCCCCATTTTCAGTGATATAGCCAGGTTGATGAACATCAGCCATGAAATGCAGAATACGGTAAAGTCCTTATTATGATAGAACGTCTTTTGTACATAGAATGGAATAGAAGTCCAGCAAACATCCAGAAAGCTCACTGGATGTAGTAAGTTGACCAAATTAGGAATGAGGGCTTGGTTGAGCACATGACTCGGAGCAACGTCACATCTATACGGCCAAATACGAACATATATGGAGTGGAGGATGCTGATTAACCAAATAAACAAGTCTTTTCCTTATGAATGCCCTATCATGATATCATCCCCCGAATCAGCCCGAAATACAAACATGAGGCAACCATGTTGAGCCCAAGCACTAGTTAGCTAACGCGCTAAAATGGCCATGTTGTTGGGAAAGATACCAAAATCAGATGTGATCGACATCATGCTCTAATCCAGCCAAACGTCCGAGGCCCATTTTTGCGGGGAGCGTGAAAGAAGTGGGCTTTCTTCACATGCGCGGAGTGTCGCCAATTACCGAACGACTGGGGAGTGATCGACAATAAGCCCAAGCACTTAAAACCCACCAACCCACCCCCCGTGCACGGGGGTGGGCTGAAGTGTACATTCCAATACTCTTATAACGTCTACGAATCGTCCATAATGAGTCCCAATCCAAAGGACTCCATGAAGTCCACCTGGCGGCAACAAGCCCGCTCAGAGTGGACTCTCTTCCACTGGTTCTATGAACTCCTAGGAATCCACCCAGAACACCTCGACAAGAACATTCCCATCCATCTAAAAGAAGACGCTGTGCCCTACGTCCCAGACTGGTCCATGCACCGCTGGGTCCTCACGCACGCCGCCATCCCCCTCCTAATCCACCACGCCTACGTCTCCTTCACTGGCCACAACCTCAGCGCCTGGGGTGCCTTCTTCCTATACGGACTGGCTTTCAAAGCCATCGGCATCCACGAACTCCACATCCTCCGACGACTGGGTCACCAGCACGGCTTCCTAGACGGTGACAAGCACGCCCGCGACGGCGTCCCAGACGTCGGAGTCGCAAAGGTCGTCCGCTCACTCATGTCGACATCAACCTTCCGCCCAATGTTCACCGTCTTCATCGCATACCACGCAACACACCCACCCTCAACAATGAGTTTCGTCTGGCTGCCCCTCGAAGTCGGGTTATACGGTATCATCCTCGACTTCTGGTTCTATTGGTACCACCGACTGATGCATGATGTCGATGCCTTGTGGAAATACCACCGTACCCACCACCTCACCAAGCACCCGAACCCACTGTTGACGCTGTATGCAGACTCTGAGCAGGAGTTCTTCGATATCCTCGGTATCCCGCTTATGACTTATTTCAGTATGCGGTTTATGGGGATGCCGATGGGGTTCTATGAGTGGTGGATTTGTCATCAGTATGTTGTTTTCCCCGAGTTGGCGGGTCATAGTGGGTTGCGGGTTCATGCTACGCCGCCGTCGACGTTGAGTTGGGCTTTGCGGTTGTTTGATGCGGAGCTTGTTATTGAGGATCATGATTTGCATCATCGGAAGGGTTGGAAGAAGAGTCATAATTATGGGAAGCAGACGAGGCTTTGGGATCGGATTTTTGGGACTTGTGCTGATCGCATTGAGTCTGTCGAACACAATGTTGATTATGTTAATTCGTCACCGATGCCGTTGTATTGAGTGAGGTTGGCTTATTGATTTGGTGTGGAATACATACAACGTCTGTACAGTTGTGGAGGGTTATTGATATCGGTTGATATTGTGTTCTTTTGTTATGCTATTTGACATGGGGTTAGATCCTTGGGATATCATGTCTTTGAATGAATGGATGAAATGTTCCCTATGACCAATGACTTTCCGTATATTAGAGCGCAGTCTTTGAGTAGGTCAGGTTGGCTTGGGTACAGCATCGCGACTAATCTTCAGAGTGGCATGCAAGTATTTGAGGTGCTACGTGTGAAGAATTCGATAACCAACGTATGTATTACAGTCTAAAGAACAATATGACATCTGGTATATGGGCCTAGAAGGCCTAAGCCCTCCACAGGGCATTAACTTGCTTCCTCCGAGTCTAGACAAGACAATGTTAGCAAATGTACCTAAAGAGAATAGGCGGAAAACTTACCATCGGAGCCAACACGGTGACACCCACTCCGAGTGCAACCACGGTGAGAACGAGCTGCAGCTTGGAGAAGCTCTTGCCAAGAATATCGAATGCCTGACTAGGCGTGGCTCGGGTACCGTAAATATCGCTTCCATAAGCGAAGATAAGACTGGTACTTTCCAACAGGGTAGGACGAGAGAGCACAGCCTTGATGCCGGCGACATCGCGCGTGTGCGAGAGGTACCACTTGCCATCGAAGTCGAGGTAGGGCGCGTAGCGGAATAGACCTTCTTCGGCCTCGGCCGTGGTGGGGTCACGGTCGACAGGACGGCGGGGGTCGAGGACGGGGCGAGGAATGCCAACGATGGAGTTAGAGGAGGGCAGGGTGCAGAGAAGCTGGCGGGTGGTGATGCCCTGGCGCGTTTGAGTGACAGCCATGTGGGAGATGGATTCGGGGATCATGAAGGCCTGGGAGATGACATGGGGCAACGGGAGGGTGGCAGTGCTAGAGTAGTTGGTGGCGGAGTCAAGAACACCACGGTCGTTGGGGAAGGGGGATTCATAGAGCTCCGAGATCACCAGTTGGTAACCCTTGGCGGAGGACTCGCTGCCGGTAACGTCGCCCCAGAATGAGTAGGCAAACCAATTCTCGGACATCACGGATGCGATGGGCTGCGTGGAGTCCACGCCTGCTTGGGTGGTTGCGTGAAGGACCTTGCCTGAGACTCCGTCCAGCAGGTAGAAACTGGCGGTGTGGGTCTGCTCGTTAACTGCAGTCACCAGGGCGAGGTTGGAGTTGAGGTATTTGTAAAGGACCGAGCGGTTTCCAAGGACCCTGCCGATAGATGCAACAGGATCATGCGCAGGGCGAGCGGTCGCCTCGACGACCTTCTCTCCGGAGGGAGGAATGAACTCCCACACAGGAGTCTTGTTATCCTTTGCAACCCAGCCGAGGACTCGGCCATCAACGCTGGTGGTTACCAGGAACCCGTTGTCGTCCGCAAATGCAGTGACTGGAGTACCATCTTCACGGACGCCGACGGTGGCCAGTGAACTTCCGTCCTGCGTCTGGAAAACAGCAAGCGAGTGGAGTTTGCTGTTGGATGATTCGATGCGCGAAACGATCTCTCCGGTCGACACATCTAAAGTCACAGAGCTTCCGTCGTCGGAGTAGATGGTTGCGACTCCGGGCGAAGCCAAAATAGCCTTTACATTCCACTGCGATGTCTCCACAGCCTGGATGCCCCACGAAACGGCGCCGTGGTTGCCAGTGTTCAAGGCGTACACACGGCCGTTCTTGGTGGCAACAATGACTGATTTGGCAACTCCAAAGCTGTCCAGGTTGGACACTTCGTCGGTCAAGATGCTGCTCAGAATGCGCTTAGGAAGATCCTTCAGCCAGTCGGGCAGATGTTCCAAGTCCCGAATATGACGCTTCACCCGGTGTAGGTACGCGCCGTACAAAGTCTCGTGGCCCTCGACCTCCAATTCATGGGCTAGATCCTCCTGGGCAGCAGTTTCCGCCCAGGTGGCTGCGACAGCATCAATGAGACCCTCGTGTCGAGTCCACTCGATCTGGCCATTTCGGATAAGTTGCCAATCTCCGTGCTTCCGGAAAAGCGCTGACCTAACAGCCACAGATTTTCCTTTAGCAACCACCTCAGATACTGAGTGAAGGGCACTGTCAGAAGAAGGCTTCTGCAGATCCCATCGTCCCAGGATTCCATGGGAGGCGGATGATACAACAACGGCTTCCGTGTCCGTGATTCGAGTGAAATAGACATTAGCGTCAATGACGCTGGCCGCGACCACTGACTGGCCGGGCAGATAGGGCATCCGGTAAGCCTTGGTGACCTTAGCAGACATCAAGTCTACATGGTAGACCTCAGACCAGGCTCCTGCCTCGGTTGCAAAGTGGACCAGGAAATGGGGCAGAGCATTAAGCTTGTGGGGAGCGTGGACTGTGATCTGTCGAATTTCGGAGCCGGAGGTATTGTCAATGGCGATAGAGGTGACCTCCTTGGTACCAATCACATTCACCTTCAAGTACTTTTGCGATTTGTCGGTCCAGACGATGATAGGCGAGGCGGAATTAGCGCCCACATAGAGGACGGACTCCGGGGTAGCCACATCAACCTCAGAGTTCAAAATCTGTTGACGGATCTGTCGACCAGTCAATGGGTCCAAAACAGTGACCTTGATCTTGTAGCCCTTCAACATAGCCGACTGGAGTGAAATATAGAAGACTTCCGTGGAAGAAGACGACACTTGGAACGGAACGTCGCCGCTAGAAGAACAATTCATTAGCTTGGGGCTTGCAAAAAATAGCCAAAGAAGAATCCAACCTTGCATCTTTGTATTCCCACACAGTCTTTCCAGTGTTGCCATCCAGTCGTCTCACGATTCCGGTGCCCTCACTAGTAACCACAGCAATTGTATCTCTCACCCCAGAGGTCGCGGTGGCATCCTCAAGCTCCAACAGCTCGAGATCAGCAACCACACCCTCAGAAACTCGATTTTCCCATCCCACCTTGCCATCCTGGGCACTCCATGAAGAGATGTAGCTACCCACCGCAGCTACAACAGCGTCATTTCCATCCAATCCGCGCAAGAGACCCGCCCCATGCGCAGGAGAGTTAACCGACCGCGAGATGTTCTGGCGCCATACCAGCGAGCCGTCGCGGGGGTTCACAGCACCCACGAGCAGCTTGTCGGATAGGGTATAGAGAAGGGAGGCATTTGAAGATTGGGATGGCTTGAGGAAGAAGGTCGAGTCGGGGGATGGGGTGCCGAGGAGAGCGTGGTGGAAGTCGATGTGGTTGACCTCGTCAGAGTAGATGGCCGCCGCGGGCGATAAGCACGCGGCGAAAAAAAAGCGCCGCCTGAAGCCGCATTTTGAGTAGCTCTTATTGGAGCATTGAAGAGGGGAGGAGGGGAGATGTAGAATGGATGTTGTCAATACAATCTTGGCGGAGTCCGGGCGGTGATGGCCGCCCCAGATCCAGATCCTCCCCATTCCGTCTACATCCATGGACATCCAGGGCAGAAAGCTACATCTGGTACATAGCTATTTATAAAAGTCATCTGTACATTTCGCACCTTTTTCTGTTTTCTGCCGTCTAGTTATCAAACTGAGCGGGGGAAGAAAACATGTAAAAAAAGAAAGTCTCCCAAAAGGAATATCTGAGAAGACTCCTGAAAAGTCCACCAAAATAAAACTACTAAAAAGACATTACATGCAATACTGTAGGCATTACTATTAGAATGATATCCACAAGAAGCTGAGCAGGCTGGCTATTAGCACGACTTACATCAAAATCTGCCGAAAGGGCTAGTATGTCATTCTCCGTTGACACTCGAACGATCCCCACATGCTCCATCAAAACCATCAATGGGCTTTCCCAACCAATCGTTCGTATTGCGCGAATACCCTCTTTTCCAAACATCACCTCAAATCCCCTTAGTGGTCTTGCTTGAAGATCAATCATTATTTGATTCCCTTAAAGACAATAGCCAAGAACGATATTCGGCATATTACAAGGATAGATAAGGTCTAAGCCGGCGATGAATGTGTTTCCTGGCACTGGATCTGAGCGTGAGTGAGAGAAGTCATAGAACAGCCCTAGAGAAGGGAACTGATTGAGTCAATGGGTTATGCTCGGCAAAACATGTCCCTCACATTTTCCAATTAGCCGCATTCGCCGAAGCACGAGTTCCCCTGTTGCAGTATATATTCCCAGCAGCTTTTTGCTACTGCAGATATTCTACATTGTCAAATCGATCATGAAATAGAAAATTCTGCTCTCTAGTCATGATACTGACATCTCTCAGCCATTGGTTATGTCGTCAATGCTGCCTTCTGATACGGAGCTCGGGGTGTATTTAGAAATGTTGTGCGTATGACGGTAAATCAGTCGCCAGTCTTTTCCACACTCGATACTTACAGTGAGAAAGGCAAGATAACCTCTATCGCCGTGTATGAAGAACCTTGTTTTCCAGACTGATTGACTTTCGAATATATCTGCTATTGCCCTTGAACAGAGTCGTAGGCTGAGGAAGTCCACGGTTAATAGATAAGTTGCAATTCCAATCTTATTTCAGGTGGGATCCGTTCGAAGTAGTGTACATCAATGGAATTTCCATGTAGAAAGTATGCCTTCATGTGAGGTCCAATGAACCATGGAACTCTCGGTGGGTGTGATTGGATGCTTGCGGGTGATCCATGGATTACTTAGGGATTCATCCCAAGGTTCGAGGCATCTATATACATCGACATGTATGTAGGTATTAACTACTCTCAAAAACAGCGAAACGTTACCAAGCGGCCACCATTCAAGCGTTCACTCCGATATCCCACTTATCCTTCAGGTTAGCTTCATTGCCTTTCGTCTTCACATTACCTGATTGGGGAATTGGGAATCTGCCACTCATCGGTGCCACTGATCTCTATTAAATTGGATAACCCCGAAGCATGAAAGGCATTTAACGCGTCCAACTGTGTGTCCCACTCACGGTTCCTGCCTCTTTCATAGCCTCTAATACACAGATAGCTCAGGTTATCTGGCAGACATTCCGCAAGCATGACCTTTTTCTTCTTTTCGCCTATACCTTCATGCACCCCTTTAGCAAAGTACAACAGAGATTTAATCCCCATGCGCAACCGTTTCAGTGCCATAAAGTCCTTCAGTAACCCAATGTTCTTCCAAAGCACTTGGAGAAATGTAACAGTGGGTGCGAACTTGCCTAGAGCAAGTATTCGTAGTCCAAGTGGACCACCAAGTCTTTGATCCAGCGTCCTTTTTTCGTGTTCTTCTAGCACGCCATATAAAGGAGAGTAGTAATGATAGTCGGTATCGATATGTAGAGCCTCTAGTGACATTTCGTGTGGACATATTGCTTTAATGAACGTCATGATATTGGTTAGTGGACTAAACCTGTCGGGATTCGAAGTTCTCTAGTGTCTGTTGAGCGTGAGCCCGTATCTCTAGAGCAATGTATCTGTCACGCAGATACCCTGAATATTGAGGACAAAATACCCTTGCCACTGGAAGGCGTTGGCTCGCTTAATTCCATGAACGGCCATCAGTCGGCCAGTTCCCACCGGAGGTCATGTTTGGACTTCATGTCAAGATCACGCAAAGATTGCGGACCTTTTAGCTGACGCTTTCAATGCTCAAACCATGGCCCCCCTTTGGGGAAGGGGTCGTAGTGACTAACGTCCTGATTGCCGGCGATTTATCCCGCATCGTGGAAAATATTGCCTGGGGAATCACAGAGCGAATTCGCACCGGGCGAAACAGTACCCTTACGAACGGGGTGGCAGACCACCCCGAGACATATATCCATGTGAACTGGCCGTCGTCAAATAATGCGCCTCTCGCTAGTATCGAGGCTTTGGCGATCAAACTGTGTCTTGCGGGGTGATAGTATGGAAGTCACGCCCAGATCTTAGGATAAGATGAGAATAGAATTAGTGAGCGTTTCTTATCTTTTGGGGCTGGTCCTCCTCCTGGGTACTTCTTCCCTTGTCACGTATGCTACATGTGTAAAATCACCACGGAAGCAAATCGAGCGGTCTGGAAGCATTCCTTGAGATTTCAGAAAGATCCCGATGGACGTTCTCCACCTAGATCTGGGGTCCGTAGGTCATATAAGCTATGATACTATATATATTACCTTCGTAAGCTACTTCTCTAAATAAGTAGCCAGTAGTCCTTTCTAAATCCACAAAATCGTAATAGATAAATCATATATTGTGTCTCAGTATATACTAGTTTCTGAACGACATATCCCAGCGAAATGGTTCATTTCTACCGATTGCCTTATCTACCAGTGAAGAACGAGCTTAATCATCACGGTTGTTGTTAAGGTAGCCTAAAATGATACGTAGGTCAGCATATAGTCCTTAAATCCTTCTAGGGAAAAAAGAAGAATCACGAACCTTCGGCCTTGTTCAGGAGCTTGCTGCCAAAACTATCGCTGGAGGAGTCATTGTTACCACCGTAGCTAGAGTTCTTGTTGCTGCTACCGTAGCTATCCTCATCACGGTTGGAGCTAGACTTGTTGCCGTAGCTGGAGGAGTTGTTATCACCGTAGCTGGAGGAGTTCTTGTTGCTGCTACCGTAGCTATCCTCATCCCGGTTGGAGCTAGACTTGTTGCCGTAGCTGGAGTTGTTATCGCCGTAGCTGGAGGAGTTCTTGTTGCTGCTGCCATAGCTGTCCTCGTCACGGCCGGAGCTAGACTTGTTGCCGTAGCTGGAAGAGTTGTTGTCGCCGTAGCTGGAGGAGTTCTTGTTGCTGCTGCCGTAGCTGGAAGACTTGTTGTCGTTGTCATTGTTGCCATAGCTGGAGCTGGACTTGTTGCCGTAGCTGGAGGAGTTCTTGTTGCTGCTGCCGTAGCTGTCCTCATCACGGTCGGAGCTAGACTTGTTGCCGTAGCTGGAGGAGTTCTTGTTGCTGCTACCGTAGCTATCCTCATCCCGGTTGGAGCTAGACTTGTTGCCGTAGCTGGAGTTGTTATCACCGTAGCTGGAGGAGTTCTTATTGCTGCTGCCGTAGCTATCCTCATCACGGTTGGAGCTAGACTTGTTGCCGTAGCTGGAAGAGGAGTTGTCGTTATCATTGTTGCCATAGCTGGAGCTGGACTTGTTGCCGTAGCTAGAGGAGTTCTTGTTGCTGCTGCCGTAGCTGTCGTCATCACGGTTGGAGCTAGACTTGTTGCCGTAGCTGGAAGAGTTGTTATCGCCGTAGCTGGAGGAGTTCTTGTTGCTGCTGCCGTAGCTATCCTCATCACGGTTGGAGCTAGACTTGTTGCCGTAGCTGGAGGAGTCGTTGTCACCGTAGCCGGAGCTAGTGTTCTTGCTGCCATAGCTGTCCTCGTCACGGCCGGAGCTGGACTTGTTGCCGTAGCTAGACTCGTTGCCACCGTAGCCGGAGCTCTGGTTGCCACTGCCGTAGCTGTCGGACTCGTTGCGGTAAGACATTTTAATTGATTGTTTTAATGGAATTGGTTTATGTTTGAAATGAGAAGATGAATAGATCCTGGAAAGAAGAGGATAGACTGGTTATTTAAGGGGTACTATGTTTATCCCAACAGAAGGTGAGCGCTTTATTTATCCCCCACCAGGAACGGGGTCGAATGGAATAGAAGAGAATCGCCCCTCTCTTTACCCCCTCAATGACAACATGCGGACAAGCGAGGCGAGGAAGGCCAACAGGGGCCAATAATCGTGGCACGGAGAAGCTAGCATCTCATCTCCAGAGCTTACTAGTTTTTGCTTATTTGGTATTGATTGCGCAAACCTTGGGGGCCACTTTTCAGCTGGCGTGGCCCAAATTGGAATTGACCCCATATTTGACCCATAGTTGCTATTGTGGCATCATCCAATCCACGAACAGAAGATCGCGCCATGGAGAAAGCCATGCGGGCCTGTGATTTGCCGGTCGAATTTGGTTCCTTATTGGGATCCGGACTTAGCCGCCCTGTGAAAGGATAGATTCCTTTCCCATCATATGTGGCTATGTTGCTGTTTATCATCATGCAGCCACCGTCTAGACTCTCTTTAATATGAGAGAATAGGTGAGATGTATCTAATCCGTAAACAAACGTACCTACATATGTAAGCGCCCTTATTTCTTTTCCCTTTTTTTGGGGGAGTCAATCATACTGAGATGAACCAATCATAACTGCGGATCTGTCTTTTCCGGGCCCACTTAGGCAAGATCTACTGAGATCGCGCTATTGATTTCTATGGTAACGTGATGCATTTATCTCCGAGATCCGCCCGTATCTCTGGTTTGCTTTGGACAGTCCATGGTACAATTGAAGATCCCTTCTTAGTCAAGGAGTTTGTGCGAGCGCAGAAACCTACCCCTCTTTGGGTACATTGGATATCCTCGGGTTGACCATGGCCCTGTGCATGAATCTTGCTGTCCTCGACATGATTCGATGGATTCAGCTGAAGTAATTAGATTACGCAAAACTCTTCAAGTGAGGTAGAGACAAGTTTGATTAGGTTGACATGTCTATCATATCTGCGCAGATTCTGGGTATTCATTCACTCCTTCCCCCAAATATGATTATTACTCCAGTGATTGGTTTAGTTGGAGATCTTCTCGCTGACTTGCTTGCTGTATCGCAGAATCAAATATTAGCAGATATCCAAGCCCAAGGAATCTAAAGTGTCACGTACCCAGTGGCCTTCTCGTAGGCCTCGCGGGCACCGTCGGTGATCTTCTCCTGCATGTTGCTGTCGAGGTTGAAGCCAGACTTCTTGACACCGGCAGCGAAGGCTGAGGTAAAGACTTGTCAGTCGAAAATTCATACTGCGCAAAGCAAAATAAACCACTCACCCTTGTCAACGTAGTCCTGGTTCTGCTGGGTGCTGTTCTCGGCAGGCTTGTCCTCGTGCTTGCCGCCAGCGCTGGAAACTGCCTGCTTAATGAAATCCATTGTGATAGTAAGTGTCTGAATTATTTACGAATTCAAAGATATGAGTAGAGAGATGAAAAGAAAAAGAAAAAGAGTTGTGTCAGGGAATCCGTCTAACTAGGCAAAAGCTGCCCCTCTTTTGCCAAGGCTGCCTTGGGTAGTTTGGTGTGGGGCTCGTTGTGGCTGTTCGCTGTGGCACTATTGATACTGTGGCGTTTTGCTGCACTACTGTGGCACTAATGAATTGCGGTTTGTTGGGATCTGTCAAATGTCTGATACGGCGCCTCTAGGCCCTATATAGTTATCTTGGTTTTTATGTGGTCTGGTGGTAAATTATGCTGTATTTTTTCCCGCAGGGTCTCTAGACTGGGGGATAAGTGACCACATGGTGTGATTTTCAATAATTTCATGTGAAAATGTAATAATCGACATTTATTTTCAAATACAAATTGTTATACACAGTTTTGAAAGCAACTTTCAAAAACAAAAACTCCAGAAAAATGCTATCCAATCCAAACAAATCTTAAACACCGAAACAAGCCTTATTGGCAGACCGGACAGCTTCCTTCTCGCCCTCACTCATGGCATCGGTGATCTCCCAAGGAGTGTTGCCTAGACCCATCGCACGTTGGCCCTCAGGGCTCAGCGTCGACCAATCCATAGCAACCTTGAAACCCGCCTCACCGGGTCCACCGGCACCAGGGAAATCCCACGGAGGCGAATAGGTCTGCGCAGCCTGGCGCTGCTTAAGAAGGTATTTCACATTCATGTCACACAGCGGGGTAGCAGGAATATACATAACACTGGAGTCCTGGGTGCCACGGTGCTCCTTGTCCACGGAGTGAAGAGAATCGCAGTGCCAGGCGACAAAGTCACCAGGCGCAACCTGCGGTACGGAAACCATAGTCGACTCGAGATCGAGATGCGGGTGCGTGACCGGGTTATACTCCTGGCAAGCTCCAGGTACGGAGCCGGGGAATGTAGCATCCAGGGCCGGTTTTGAGCTCTCGATGTCGAAGAAAGGACGCAGGATGGTGTACGCTGTGCTGTGGTTTATCATGGGACAGACGTGCAATGAGCCTTCACCGGGCTTGGTGTCCGACATAGATAGCCAAGCCTGGAAGAAGCGCAGCATGGAACATGCACCGGCACCGTTGTATAAGTCCATGTTGGCGTTCAGACGGTGTCGCGCATCCCATGCGTCGTACTGCTCCCACTTTCCTTCCAGGATCTTGGTGTAGACTCGGGAGTACTCGGGGTCTTCCCAGCGCTCGAGAGAACCGCCGTCGATGTGCGGTCCGAGGGTGAATTTTGAGTCGCCGGGGTCGCGGATGCGCAGACGGTCTGCGTAGGTGAGCGGGTTGGTTGTTGAGATCTTGCTGTTGGGGTCGGAAGAATGCCACAGTTGCTGGATGAAGCGCTGGGTGTTGAGTAGGCTCTCGTGGCCGCGAGCTTCGGCCTGCGATGGAGTCCAGTACAGCTCGTAAACAGCTGGGGAGTCAGCCGGGAAGGCCTTGACTCGCTCCTTGTTGGCGGCCACGTAGTCGCGGATCCGCTGCTTATACTCTAGAGCTTGGTCCCGAGGGATCACATTGCGGACGACCACGCTGCCTCGGTAGCGGATCTCTTTTAATGCGGTTTCAGACACCTTTCCAGAGATCACGTCAGAGTACTCAATTGAGGGAATGATCTAGTATGTATAAGTTAGGCTTTTGCTCGGTAATACGGGTTAATGTGCACATACGTCGCTGCCCTTTGCCTTGATCTTTTGCACTTCTTCATCCAAGCTAGGAAGCAACCGCCCCCAACTCTTTGTGATAGCATCTTTGTTCTTCTCGAAGACCTTTGCCTTCAGCTCCTGAAACCGTGTGGGGAGAGGTTCCGGCTTGTAGTCGGGCCTTAAACTGGGGAAGACCGATGAGATATCACCAGCGGCCTTGGTCGTCTGGGCCGATGTAGAAGCCGCTCGGACAGCGGATTTTGAGATAAACTTTGACAATGACATGGTTGAAACGAATTCACAAGTGTATATTTTAACATTGCGGGGATCTTCACCAGTGCTTTATATGTGTTTCGTGGGGAACACACCTTACATTAGTCGAAGCGGAAATCTCCCTTAAACGGTAGTCGTGCCGCTGTCGGAAAGAACGGTGTGCCAAGAAATTACCTTGTTAGGATATTTACCCGCCCAGTTGCTGCTGGCCATGACCAGCCCACAAAGAATCCATCATTTATGAGGCTAAAGATAGCAATAGTCTCGAGTGAGTTTTCTCGAAAGTCTGGCCGTTTGAGAACATCATTCGGGAACACGACAAGCCGGCATTTTTCAAGGCTTTCGGGATAGAAGATCTACATTGTGACGAAGCCTAACTACTATACAAATTAAAACACCACATGCCATACCACGACACCAACTGCGAGACTTGGTGTGAAGTTGCACTGAGTTCCTCGAAGGAGATGATTAACCGAGTACCGTAAGTGCTACTGTTTGACGGCTAGGACAGGGTAGAGCTACCAAAGGTCTAAATGTCTCGTAGAGCGTTCCTATGCTTGACAGGTATACTTCGTACCCACTCAAATAATTATATAGGGCAATCCACCTGGTTTTCCCCGGTTTTTCACTTCAAAAACTAAAGGCAAGAGTGCCGAGCCCTACCCTAATGCCCCATGGCCCATGGCCCCTTGCTAATCCGGAACTGCAGCATGTAGCGCTTTTCCATCGAACAATTCATACAGGTACCATCAAACCCCTCCCAGAGTTGTAATAGAGTAAGCCAATGCCAACAAGAGGGGAATCCTGTTAGATGACCTGATACCCAAGGGAAACGAGGAAATAGACTGCTATTGGACCTCGTTGTATAGGAATCTCGGCCATTACGCCGGCCTCGGTCCACCTTCCTCTCGCCCCAACGGGTAAATGCTCTTCTACCCCGCGAGATTTCAAAATGGATACGGAATGCGCTGCAAAGGACCCCGAGCATGTTCCACAGGGCCCATAGGCTGCATAAAAGAGCGCAGAATCCCCCTCATAGTGGAATCTGTAACCCATTAATCGTTAATACTCTAAACATGTCTCTCTCGGTCAAAGGAAGATCTGCCATTATAACTGGGGCCGGCTCCGGTATGTCTCCTGTATACTGCAGTATGAAACAGCCAGCTTACATTGTAGTCAGGTATCAACCTCAGTTTCGCCAAATTGCTAGTGGAAAACGGCTGCAATGTCCTAATCGCAGACCTAGCCTTGCGTCCCGAGGCGCAAGTGCTGGCCGATAAGCACAAGACCGGACCCGCACGAGTGGTCTTCCAACAGACTAATGTGATTGACTGGGTGCAGCTCGAGCGGATGTTCGAGGTTGCGGAGAAAGAGTTCGGCGAGATTGATATTGTTTGCCCGGGCGCGGGAGTCTACGAGCCGGTAAGACAAAGCACAACCCCAACAAAACTACAAGTGTAACTACAGCTGCAATAAATCTAGAACTGGAGCAACTTCTGGCGCCCGCCTCACTCAGCTGAAAGCAAGGACTCAGCCTCTGGCGGCCGATACGCTTTGATCGATATCAACATCACCCATCCGATCCGCACGACGCAGCTGGCGATTGCTCATTTCCTAAACAATCGTACCAGCGGCCGCCCGAAGCATATCGTCCATATCTCCAGCATTGCAGCCCAGAATTCGAATCTCGCAGCTCCGATTTACTGCGCCACGAAAGCCGCCGTCAACGGTTTTGTCCGGTCGCTCGCTAACCTCGACAAGCAGCTTGGCATCCGAGTCACGGCCGTGGCTCCCGGTGTGATCAAGACCCCGCTGTGGACTGATCATCCGGAGAAGATGAAAATGGTTGATGATAGTACTGATTCGTGGGTGACACCTGAAGAAGTGGCGGAGGTGATGTTGGCGCTTGTGCAGCAGGAACAAGTGGGCGAGATTATCGGGGATCGCTCGGGTCGTGGGCCGCAGTTTAAGGTGGAGGGAGGTACAGTTCTGGAAGTTTCAAAGACGGTGCGAGCTGTCGAGCAGTTCAATGATCCTGGCCCTGGTAATCGGCCTGGAAACACGGCGTCGGATCATCACACGGTCGAAGAAGAGAGTTATCAACTCATGTCGCAGAAAGGCTGGGGATTGTCGAAGACATAATTAGTATCATTTTATGGATTTAGGAATCCCAATGTTTCAAATAGTTGGCGCTTCAAGGATGTAGTTAGGTAATATGTAGGGGTGCCCAGATGCTTCCTGGGCTGGGCCAAGTGTTTTTTTATGTAACAGGGTCCCGAAGAAGAGCCGGTCATGTGTCATCCCGATAAGGCTTTCAACTGGCCACGATACTTTTCCTCCATATTCCTCCCTTTTTCCGTTTTCCAGTGTTTAAACTAAATTACCCTCTCTCTCTATCTCTCTCTTTTGGTTTGATCTCGGCCCCGCTGGTAGCGGCCGTTAATTATGTGTTGCGCGCCTATCTACGACCGATAACCGCATTTCCGCAAACAGATAACAGATATTAAAATGGAGGAGGCCGCTCTCGTTGGTCCATCTGGATCCCAGAATGCATTGCGGAGGTAAGCTAGAACACAAAGTCTGGATGATGGCTGTAGCTAATTAAGATTCCATCAGGCGTGGAGGCCGTGGAAGACCAGGAGATGTCGTGGGTGAGGCCAGTTGGGCCAGCAGTGTGATCAACCTGGTCAATACCAGTAAGTGCAAGGAAATACACAAGGAGGGTGTTTCGGATTCTGATACAATTTCTCACTCTAGTCATCGGTGCCGGTGTGCTTGCGATGCCCCTAGCCATCTCCCGCATGGGAATTGTCCTCGGCGTCGGCGTGGTTCTGTGGTCTGCAGTCACCGCAGGATTCGGCCTCTACCTGCAATCACTATGCGCGCAATACCTAGATCGTGGAAGCGCCTCATTCTTTGCGCTATCACAGTTGACATACCCCAACGCGGCCGTCGTCTTTGACGCTGCGATTGCGATCAAGTGTTTCGGAGTCGGCGTGAGCTATCTCATCATCATTGGAGATCTCATGCCGGGGGTAGTACAAGGCTTTGTTGGCAGCGAGCCAGGATATGACTTCCTGGTGGACCGCCATTTTTGGGTTACGGCTTTTATGTGAGTCGCTTTGTGAAATGTGGCGAATCGAGAGCGAAGTGCTGACCGTTTGAGTTTAGGTTGATCGTGATTCCTATTTCCTACTTGCGCCGGTTGGATTCTTTGAAGTATACCAGTATTGCGGCCTTGATGTCCATGGCCTATTTGGTTGTCCTGGTTGTGTATAAATTTGTCCAGGGAGACACAATGGAAGATCGGGGCCCGATTCGCGTGGGCCATTGGGCCGGCGCGGTTCCGACTCTCAGCAGTCTGCCAGTTATTGTCTTTGCATTTACTTGCCATCAAAACGTACGTTTTCAAGTTACGACCCTTGGATTCTTTTCTAACAAGCATTCCAGATGTTCTCCATCCTCAACGAAATCGGCAATAACAGCCACTTCCGCACGACTGCCGTTGTTTTCGCGAGCGCCGGTAGCGCAGCTGCAACATACATCCTCGTTGCCATCACCGGATACTTATCCTTCGGCAACAGTGTAGGCGGCAATATCATCGGCATGTACCCACCCGGCGTGTATGCAACGATCGGCCGCGCTGCAATCGTCATGCTAGTAGTCTTCTCTTATCCACTTCAATGCCACCCATGCCGAGCCTCAGTCGATGCTGTCCTAAGATGGCGCCCCAGACAACAAGTCCATGGCACAGAGAGTTCTCCAAACCGGCACCCACTGCTTGGCCCACGCGGAAACCGTACCCCGGAGCCAATGAGCGATCTTCGCTTCTCCATTATCACAACCACCATCTTGATCCTGAGCTACCTAGTTGCTATGACCGTGTCTTCCCTCGAATCCGTGTTGGCATACGTCGGGAGCACTGGCAGCACAAGCATCAGCTTCATTCTCCCGGGCTTGTTCTACTACAAAATCTCCTCGCCCGACTCACCTACCCACCAGGTCTTAATGAAAGAGGACGATGAGGCGGAGGATGATCTTTTCGATGATGACGAATGTGACGACGACGAGGGTTCCCTCGCTCGGTCGTTGACCGAGAGTGGCCTTTTGCCCCGTGGCAGCCGCTGGCGCAAGCTACTGCTTCGCCGACTCAGCCTGGCGTTAGCTCTCTACGGCTTCCTTGTTATGGTTGTGTGTCTGATTACGAACACCTTTTTCAAAGTCTCGCATTAATAGGCTCCTTTATCTCTGCATGAAAGTTATCTTTCCCCCTCTTGTCGGCTTGGACCTGATCTTTCCATGATGTTTGGGCCTGCCATATACCGTCCAAGGAACCTTGTTCCTTTGATTTTCTTGCCTGTTCATCAGGCTCATTTCCCTTCGCATATTCTTTCCCCTTGACGCGTTACTTTAGATGTTCGCTGCTGTGTGTTTATCCTATTGGATATTGCTCTTCGCAAAGTTTAAATTTCATTTGATTCGGGTTGTTCATGCTGGGCGTTTGGAGAATTGTATCTATTTGACTCAGTTGCTTAATCTTCATATCGGCTGGATGCTAATTTATGCGGGTTTACCATGACCAGTTGTTTTGTTTGGGTAAGGAAAGAAGAGAGATAGGATTCAAGGTAAACGTATAATGAATAGACTTGTAGAAGTTCAAGATATGAATGAAGAAAAGTGCACAGTAGAAAGCGATTCAAGCAAGTCCAGATGTAAATCAGAAAAACCCTCATCCGAAACCAGTTCCGAGAAACACCAAAACCCAAGATTGTTTGTTCGGCAATTGCCCTCTGATCCATAACCTACTAAAAGCAGGCCATTCAAGGAAGATTGTACGTATCTCTTCTCAGCTCTCGGCCAGTTCAACGCGCAGTTAATTATTGTTGTTAGCACCGTTCAGAATCCGCAGAATAGACATGAACAAGTTAAGCACATCGAGATAAAGCGAGATCGAAGCAGCGATCTCCTCCTCAACATGATAGTGTCGCATAACCAGCTGCGTATCGACGAGAATATAACCCGAGAAGATGAGCGCACCAAGTACACCATATACGATCTCGATGGTGCTGTTGAACGGGATGAACATAGCCACGAACCCGAACAGAATCATGAACCACAATGCACCGAACAGGTATGGCATCCAATCGGTGAAATCGTACTTGGTCTGGCATGCGAAGAGTGTCAAGGCGACGAAGATTCCAAGCGTCAGTGCGAGCGCTTGTACAACTACTCTCGCGTCATAAAAAGATGTAGCCACACTGATTGAGTATGCTTCGAGGATGGTGAAACCTGATAGGAAGAGGAGGTTTGCCGGGTATGACTTGCGCTTCCAGAATGTTGCTAGCATGAAGCCCAGAGCGCCGAAGACGGAGATTATCATCAACCAGAAGTTAGACTGGATCCAGATGCGGTAGGAATCGTTGAAGAAGGAGATCGAGCTGAGGATCGTTGTGAGGAGGAGTTGGGCCGTTCTGGATGGGATGTGTTAGTAGGGGGGCTGTAGAATCGATGCGCTTGCGTCTGCGTTTGTGAATCGTGTTGGACTTACAGAATGGAGTATACTTTCCGAACGAATTGCATTCGGATGTCAATCGTGCCTTCGGCAACGGTGCCTCCGAACTATGTTTGTCAGTTTTCATCTTTCTAGCCCGGCGCAAATCCTCCAAATGACGTAATACATACCTTGAAATCATCTGGCAGATTGTCGTTCTCGCTGCGAGGCGCTGGTTCTGCTGGCTGCGCGGTAGCCTGATAGGAGGGAGGCGCCTGAGAGTAGGACGGGTCGTCTAAGGAGTCCCGCTGAGGAGCGGGCTCATATCTGGTATTTGCAGCCATGGCGGTAGGTTGAGATACTTCTAGTCTCTCTGCACTGGTGTTGATCGTTGGAATGAATCGACAAAAAGAGATGAGGAAGTCTGGAGGTGGAGCCCCGAGTGATGTGACGGGTCACGTGTGATAAGCCAAATATGGGGCCAGCTGCTGCTTATGTATACACTTTTGTGGGGCCGATGGACCTCGTGAGTCCCCAGTTACACATGGAAAAATTAGCTGTACGTTCTCATATTTCTAGCTATAAAAGTGAGGAGAAAGTATTTTGAAAAACTACATCTGAAAAGAACATTAGAGGCGACTATCAAAGGGATTAGAGCAAAAACTAGCAAAAAATGCATGAAAAGGCCACATAAATCGCCGACTATTCTTGTGAATATATAACGAGGATGGATGATATATTTTCGGATTGAGATAATTGTAAGAAAACAACCACAAAAGCTGGCGAGATAAGAAGGAAATCAGTGCAGATAGCTTCGTCAGAAATATCAACTAGAAAAGCACTCGAAAGCGCCACCATGATGATGAGATGCTTCGATCTCAGTTGTTCATGGGCGAACACCGTTTGGTGGCCGACAAGGTACGATCCATAATCTCCCGTATGAATCGTTCTCGTGAAGGAAGAGAGTATTTTGAGGATTGAGATATTCATCGCTGGTTGGTTTCTGAATGGGCCAGAAAGCCCGGGTTCTTGGTCCTCTGTCACTAATTCGATATGGTTGGCGGCCTAGAGCTCCGAGATATCGTTGTGAGGGTATTTTGCGTAGCTTGGCGAAGGCGCTTTTGACCAGGTTACAGATTTTAGACTTTTGATGCAGAATATTCCCATGTATAACCTGTGACGAGAACTAAACGTCCAAACTATACAAAGCGAAGGTCCAGAGCATAGGTCTTAAAATTGAGCAAGATTAATATTGAATTATATGATATTTCTAACACACTTTAAATATACATAAGTATTTCTAATGCACCCGTTTCAAACATAGCAGCAGATAAGACTGCCACTGAACTCTAGACCCAACCGATCTATGAAGAATTTGAGTTATCCGCACAGGACCAAGCAGCCGAACCACCGTTCGCCGCGTAGCTGTCCATAATGCTGACAACAGATCCATATGTACCAGCGATCATCATGAAAGTACCAATAACGACAACGAAGACACTCCAGCAAACCATGGCCATCCATCTCGGTGATCGGTGGACCTTGCCCTTGCTCCAGTTATCGTACAGCCACATGCAGCCCATGGGCTGGAAACACATGAATGTGCCAAGCAAAGCACCGATAAGCGAGACGAGACTGTCGAAGACGGGAATGGCGCTTGCGATGATGTAGGAAATCAGACCGACACCTGTGGTGCAGCCAATCCAGGATCCCCAGTGCACCATGCTGTTGGAGGTGAGATGCTTGGAGCCTCTGAGGGCGCGGACGAAGATGAACTTGGCGGGTAGCTGTGGCTGTGTCAGTTCATAATCGATATAGATAAAAAAGATCTGAGGAATTTAAGAGAAGAAGCGCTTACATGAACGAACAACATCACGGTGACCAAAAGACCTGGAATAGCAAAGCCATAGCTGATCTTCTTCACAGTGGGACCAGCGGAGCCAAGAGCAGGCGAGGCAACATAAGAACCACAGAAGTAGTAGACCACAACACCGATGGTAATGTAGACAGCAGTCACGCCGCCTTGGCAGATGACCAACGAGCGAGTATAGTATTTGGGGTCGCGCATCTCCGATACGATAGAGAAGAATGCGGGTGTACCGGCGTAGGCAAAGACCATGGAGGCCACGGCAGAGATGGCTTCACTGAATGAGGGATTGGCAACGATCTTGTAATCAGATACCCAGGTTCCACCTTGTGGGGCCAAGTCTGGGCGATCCTGAACGCCGACGGCGATGGTGACAATGAAGACTATAGTACAAGTTGGGTTAGGGCTATGGTAGATCCCGTGACGTCGGGAAAAACTTACTTGCGACCAGAATGCAAACCAGTCCAATCCACGCGAGCCAACTAATTTTTCCGAGAGTGCGAATACTGGCGAAGGTAATTCCTCCGATGGCTGCAACGGCAACATAGACGGCTGTGCATGTGGCATGGCTCGAGACGGCGTTGAGGGCGATCGAAAGACCGAGCATTCCTGAGCCAGCGACGAAAATCCAATCTAGTGGGTGAGTTAGCAGTGAATCTCCAATTTTTATAATTGTATAGACCTACAGAGGCAGAATACAAAGCCGAAAACCTCACGACCGATCACACCAAACATCAAGAAACCTGCATCGTCGATACCATAGACTGAACGATGGTTGAGCTTGAATACACCGACCATATAGTCGGACCATGTTGTTATGATTGCAACGATGAGTAGGCAGATGATGCCTGGGATGAGGCCTAACGTATCAAAAGCAGCTGGGATAGAAAGGACACCAAGGCCAATCTGACTCTTCATCATGAGGATCACTGTTCCTGCCCATCCTACCTAAAAAGGTGTTAGTTTGGATCGTTAATTGGACTTTTTTATGGAGAACAAAAAAGTAAAAAAGAGAAGAGAAGAGCAGAAACATACATTTCGATAGTTGGGGCCGGATTCTGTGATCTCTCCAAACACATCATCGTGATTTTGAACGGGATGGTGGAGATCACTGTTCTCAGATGGAGTGAGACCCTCGAGGTCTTTTTCTTTTTTCATATCCATCATATTGGAGACTGGAGAATGTAAGGCGGATACAAAAAAAAAAACTGGGTCTTGGAGCATGTGGATGTCGCGCCACTTATAACTCCCTCCTCAGACCAGCGGCTGCCTGACGGATGGGGCGCCCAGAGAACAGATAAGGGTTAGACAATTGGAGTCAATGCAGTAAATGCTGGGTGGTCTAACAAGACCCGAATGTGGATACTGCGTATATTCGCTCACCTTACAATGGAATCATACGCTAACCCGGTTTCAAAACTCAAGCGCAGATCCGCCGAAAAACTGGGAAATAATAAATATCCTTGCACTATGACCGGCCCGCTGTATGACGACAAGTACGTGGAGACCATGTGGAGTAGAAATGTATGGGATGTTGCTCCATAATTCCATGACTACCCCATGGGGAGACGCGGAGAAGTTCAAATTGTGCAACCTTAACTAAACTACATTACGCCCACAAAAACGCCTCCGGACGCTTCCGGACTCCCCGGTCACATCGAGATGAAAAAAATAGTGCATCTTTTTTACATATAGGTGAGCAACGATCTTTATCAATGTTATCAGATGTTATCTCTCAATCTGATACAAAAGTCTATTTCCCGATAGAGAATATTATCAAATCCAGATAAGCTGAATTGGAAGTATCGACGTCACCGTACCATTTGAGGGGTTTAAGGGGGGGGGGGAAAAAAAGGGAAAATAGAAAAAAACAGG